TCCATCATCTGTAGGACCAAAGATATGGCTCAGAACTTCTCAATATGGCCCGCATTACTAAATGAGCATCTTCTTTCTAATACACAGCTGGCTTGGATTTGATGCTTGGTATCTTTGGTTTTGTTTATTTTTGGCTTGCTATTTAACCTCTTTTAGGAGCACAGAATGTTGGAGTACGCACTAAAGGGCTTGAGGGCTAGATGAAACTCATTCACGGCCAAGTATCACATTTTGTAGAACCATCATGTGTACAAAGACAGAGAATTGGAGCGTGAAATAGTTGGGTTTGGATCCAATTTGGGTGTTCACTGTGCTCCCGAGGCTCCTAAATTTAGGCAAAATAATTCTGATCCTTAATTTCTGAGTTTGAGTGTTAGCCTCTTCTGTGTTTTGGGTTTTTACCTTCTGATTTGTTACAATTACTTATTAATTTGCTCTGTTAATACCATTACCTCATGTCACCTGTTACTGTGTCTGCAGTATTTTCAGCCCGTCACATGAAGAAATAAAAGATGGTCATTTTCATCTAAAAGCCTTATTGACTTGTGTTTTTTTTTTAGTCTTACATGTTGAAGGTCCTAGTTCCATTACTTGTCCACACATACAGTAAACAGTGTGTAAATTTCAAGGGAAATCAAGTATTGGTGAACTCCATGGAACAGGGGCTTCTGTAGTCATGGTTGCAAATCAATGTAGTCATTTATTCATGGCGAAGTACCAGGCCTGTCCCTTAGCCTTGTGTCTGTACATTTCCTGGAAGCAGAAGAGGTCCTAGCTGACCTTATGGTTTGATCTTACCTCAAATATTGACCTGTTTTTGCTCCTGCCTCTTGACTTATGATCCTGAGATTGCCCTTAGTATGCCCTTTAAGTTCTTGTCATTCTTAGGGATGCACAGATACTTTGAGTACCAGTGCCAATACTTAGCATTTTCATGAGAACTACCAGGGTTGCAGCGGTTGCAGCTGGGACCTGGCTCTGGCGCTCCACCACTGTCCTGAAATCATTAATCTGTATTGTATTAGAAAAACTGTCACATGACAATAAACAAAAATGTATCAGTACTCGGCCATTACCAGTACTCATACTTGCAAAACGGGTATCTGTGCATCCCTTTTTTTTATAAAAACAAAATCGTACATTAAAACAGAGATGCCATTGAATGAATGTAGCATGAAAAGAAACATTCTAAGAACATCTTACATTTCCTAACAAATGAAATGCCTTTTCGGGTCTTGAATCTTTAAAATATCTAGAACTTTATATGTGAAGCATTTTCATACTTACTTTTCAGAGAATACATGCTTGGGTCCCTGTGTTGACTGGAATTAATAATCATGTTTTAGGTTTATATACTGAACGCATGTGATTTGCATTGTATAAAAACAATGAGCTCTTATGATGCCTTTACTCCCGTTAGTAACCATATTACAAACACAGGCTTTACAACTGGATGATCAGACCCCAGAGCAAGCCAACTTACTCGTAATTCACATTTGACGCCATCTGTGTGTCACGGACAATAGAGAGATATTTTATATAAATTATGAGCTCCTCCTCGGACTAATCCTTTCACAAACATGTGCTTTTTCATGTTTATAATGCACATGTATGATTATATAAATAATTGATGATAAGCAAATCTGGGAAAATAATGTGAAAATTAGACATATTGTTGGTGTTACTTATGTAGGTGGGACCGCCTCATGGTATTGGCAGCTGTAAACCATGCATGAGACCGGAACACCCAGGAATAAGGTGCCCATACACTGCTCGATTCTCGTACGAGAATTGCAGGAAATCCCGAAGGTTGTACAGTGTATGGTCACCTTTAGACTAAAAGAGAGATATTAAATGGCCTCTGAGCAGCTGAGACTAATTAGTAAGGACTGGCTAACAGGTAAGATGTGGACTAAGGAATGGAAGTGTTATCCCACCCAAAGCTCTACAAAGCCTTCAGGCTCCAGGACCGAGACCAGAACTTAGCCCTGGCGTCCTTCACCATGTGTAGGTTAGAAACCTAGGCGACACATGTACACAGTCCACAAACCTGCCATCTAGCCGCACACCTAGGCATATCGAATATGCGCATTTCGTGATGCGCGTTTTTACCGCGATTCGCGGTAAAAAAAACACACGACAAACACCCATTTCTGAGGGCTACTTGGCTGTATCCCAATGGAAACGCGCGACAAAAACACAGCTCATGTACCTTTTCAGGCGTAGGCCGTTTTGTAGCGCGTTCAGGACGGGCTGAAATACAGCAAGGTGTAACCAATATACGTAGAAAACAATGGGATGTTCATGTTTGAGCGTTTTGTAGAGCGTTGAACGCGATACAAAACGTACAGGTGTGAACCAGGCCTAATTCATCACAACAATTTACAACAAATTACATTCTAGAAAAGGTGATTTTAAAGGATCACTGTAATTTCAACGGCAGTACAGTTCTACTTTGCCATGTTGACCTAAAGAAGCCTCCCTCCCTGTTCAGATGTATACTTTCCTGGATTGCATGATCACAGCCCAGAATCTTGTCGCCTAGTTGGCCCAATGCAGTAGAAAACCTTGTCGATGCCCTACTACTGCCCATGCACGGTCAGGAGAAAGATGATTTCACTGACAACTCATATGGGCTGTGGTCTTCTGCTCTAGGAAAGTATGGATCTGGGATGAGCAAGGACGGTTAGTTTAGGTCACAGAGCAAAATAATAATTGTACCTTCTATGCAATGAGTTATCTATTTAATGTACAGCTCTTGACATAAAAGCCCAAATGTACCCTTAGAATACCTTAGGCAGTCAGGGAGCCATTTCTCCTTTAGTAGTGCTCAAGCACCAACCCATAGTCCCTTCCCGACCAGCTCAGTGACGATAAGGGTTGCTGCCCTAAGAGAAGCTGGCTATCAGCAACATTCCAACAAGCCCCTTATGCTAGAATATATAGTGTGATGCCTGTAATTTCTAGACATCCCCCCTCTGAACAGCAGTGCATGTCTAAAGTCTCACAAGATTTCATAATCTGCAAAGAATGGAGAAAACAGGCTACATCATTATGGCTGATTTTCTATAATGCATGGTCACCCAAAAACATGCAAGAAAAATGTAAAATACACAGCCTCAGTGGACAGTGATCAACTTTCAGAACAACTAAATGGTTCTTCCCCCCCTTCCCCTAACAGGATAGCAATCCATACTCGCTTTACGTGATAAAAATAGCAATAGCAGTTCTCCGCTAAGAAAAAGCCCTACGTGTCAGATCGCCAGTCAGACACCGCCCCGAAAAAACCTGACTTTAATAAAACCATGAAACTGCGCTTGATACACACATGGCATCTATTTTATAATGGCAGGATTATAAATTTGCAACCATTTACCAAACTAATTTATTACATGTAGAAAAACATACAAGTCTGGGCTCTATGGTTAGATTACGTACCCATTAACATTCCACTTGATTTCAAGCTGGGCTTTGGATGTAGAACACTGCTCAGACTTTAAAAGAGCTCCACCAATCATCTCTTGTATTACCACATAAATTCACTTTTTTTTTTTAAAGAAATAATCTATGACCATGTCTGTGACACATACTTACTTTGTACTCATGCTTCTGGCAGATGACAATTTTGGCCTTGTGACCGATTCTTCTCAGCAGGCTACAGCTGAGTAATCATGCACTTGGTGTAAAATCTGGTTCCTACAATGGTTAAAGTAGCTCACTTGGCATGATGTAGCCAGAAGCAATATCTGTACCAGTGAAAGGTAGGAGTATGAGCAGAGCCAAGTCATCTACAAAAGGTACTCTAGCCAGCACCTAAAGGATGTCTAGAGGGCCAAGATGCAACCTTCATGCTCCCACAGTAAACCAAGAGGATAACGTAATGGGTCAAAGTTGTGCATCGGGCCTAGGAGTTCGCAAGGAAGGATGGACCTAGTGGCAGGCTGATTGAGCTATGCCAGTACAAGCAACACAATTGTGGCTGCTTCTTTGTACCTATTTCAGTCCTTATTAATAGCAATCAAAAGGATATGAGATCTAACCTGTTATCTTACCTAAGATCCCATTTTACCTTTATCTGTCTCTAGATATAAAGGAACAAATTAACTGCAGTCTTGCTGCTTTGAAGTTAGATGTGTTAATTGGTTTAAGGTCAGATGGATGTGTTCCATGGTTGACATTTAAAAAAATGGCATGGGAAACTTTTGAGTGTTTTTGTGTAAAGTGAAAGAAAAACTGCCATTTGACTATATTTTGCAGTGCCCAGGGCTAGATTGTTTGCACGGCAAACAAAGACAATGGCCTGGTGCTGCACACAGCCACCCAGACTGATAAGGGGACACGGCCTCAGTAACAGGTTAGCCACTATTAGATACCAGATGCAGTGATGTACTAACCATGCTGAACAGACTGCTGATGACTTTGTATGCATTGATAAGCTTGTATTCTTGGATGGCGATTAGCATTTGATATTTTATTAAAATTTACTTGCTTGCCAGTGCACTCTGCTCTGCATTTTAACAGATCATCCAGTCTTTAGTTAAGAGCTCTATGAACCATTGATGACTCATCCAGAACTGAAATTAGACAAAAGGTTTATATTATTTTTGACACCAGCTACAGTTTTTAGCACCATGCAAATGTTTTCTATGTGGACAACTAGGCCTGAACCACCATTTTCCATTTGTTGATTCTTGGTGTACTGAGTCAGATGGGGCAAATTGTTTGAGCCCTGACAATCTTCTGTTTTGTGGTTAGGAAACCTAATCTTGCCAGCATCTAAGGATGCCCAGTCAACAATGGTAGGCACAGGGCATCGTAAGCAAGCAAGGCCTGTAGCAGACAGTATAAATAAGTTATAGCCAGGGTCGCTTGCACCAGTATTGTCCCAGAAAAGGGGAACATGTTGGCTACTCAGGGTTTACAAGAGACTCATTTATCAAATGTAATACATCGCTACAATGCAATACAATGCAAGAGGCATCTTCCACACTGCCAAGAGGAAACTATGGAACCAGAAAGTGTTTTGAACCAGTGTTGCAGGAGGTCAACCGTTTGGGATCATGAGGAAAAGCAGAGGGATGTTGAAGGCGTGATTTCTGCTAGGTCATCTTTGGCTCTTGTAGTCGATTCTCAGTATCTGTAGTGTTCAGGTTTGAAGGGTCCTTCCTTTTCTAGGCCAAGGTACTTGGCTTGCTTGTCTGAAAGCTTAGTCAGTTTCACCCCAAGCTTATCGAGATGAGCAGCTGCCACGGCTTCATCAAGCTGCAAAAAGTAGCAATAAATAATTAGGCATGCACAGAGATTTGTCTTTAATATTCCTTACAAAGTTAGTATGGTATAACCAGAATAGTAAACAGTCATTCAAGGAAAGGGTATATTCTGCAGAACACCACTGTGAAAAATACTGAAAGCTTAAGAATTGGTTGTATTCAGTGTAATCCTGTGTTCTATTTTCAGCAAGTGTGATTTGAAAAGTCTTACCTAGTCTGTCTTTCCATCTTTAAAAAATTCAGCAGATTTTGCAGTGCTGCTCCCGATACGCCTATTGCGCCTGAAGTCCCCAAACATGCTGAGAACTAGGGCGGCAACAACTAATCGACTTTAGTAATTTATCAATTGATGGGAAATGTCGACAGCCTTTTCCATCAGCGATTAGTTGCCCTGCTGCTCCACATCCCGCTTCCCCTCCTCACCCAACTTTGACCCGGCCGCCTGCATCCATGATCGAGGCGGGGAGAAGGAGGAGCAAGGAGGACGGCAGCTGCCGACAGGCCCACGATCTCGGAAGTTGCTGGGAGACTGTTTAGGGAAGGCTGCCTACACTTTCCCCCACATTGCACAATTTGCTGTATCAATGTATTGCTGGGATAGTGGGATTTGTATTCCTCTATATTATACAGTGCAATGTATCATCAGCTATAGAGAAATACAATCCCAGCAACACATTATACAATATTTATAATGTATTATTGCTGGGAATTGTAGTATTCCTCTATAGCTGGTGGTATTCTGCTGTATAATGTATTATTGCTGGGATTTGCAGTCCTCTATAGCCAGTGCCATTCTGCATGGATTGCTGTATAATTTTACACACACACCACACTTTATCCCCACTTCAAGCTTGCTCCCGTGATGGACTACAAATCTCAATATAAAATTAGCCATTATATTTATCCGATTAAAAATCGATTTTGAATAGAATAGTTTGCTGCCACCCCAAGAACCCATCATTGCTTTATAGGCATTTACTGATACCAGTAAGTGCCGATACTGAGCATATTCACGCATACTCTTGAAAATGCCCCGAATACTAAGCACCAATACTGGAGAGTCAAATACTTTTTGCGCTGCTTACATGTGCTCTCCTTTAGAACATTAAAAAGGCTATAAAACATTTCACAAATAATTACAGCAATTTTCCATTTTTGTTTTAGACCAGATAAAGCTGCTGTTGCACGCACAAGACCATCCTAATACTTCTAGGTTGCTTAGACTCCACTTGGCAGCAACACAGAGGCCATTTAAAAGCTGTAGGGTGTAGGCAAATAAGTCGCCATGGGTTTTAAATGCAACACGTTAAAAGTGCAACACAGAATGCATCAATGTGCATGTGTTAAACAATGCAATGGACCAATGTCAAGGTCAAGAGGTTACACATATAACCCGTCAGTGCTCCATTACAAAATCCCGCCTCCCGTTTTATCTATACAACACAAAAACATTACCCTTTTATGTGCCCTCGTTTAATTAAAAAAGGTTTCCCTAGCAATTATTCAGCCAATTTCCCATTTGTCATTTAAAACAACCAGATCCAGCTGCACAAGACTGACCCAAGCCTTCTAGGCTGCTCTGCCTTCTCTTGGCGTCAACACAAAGAGGCAATTTAAAGAGGCGGCGGGGAGTCCGCAATTAAATGGCTAGAAAGGAGGTTGAATTATTGAAATTCCCATCAACCATGGCAAATATTAAAGCAAAATGTCAGCTGGTAGAGTGTAAACTGCCAGACTTTAAGCTCTACTGCCTAGGAAATTTGCAAGTGGGTCACTAATTGCCAAGGTATGCCCCATCAGAAGGTCCAGCTAGCTATTTATAGACTCCCTGTAGGGAACAGCACCACATGACCAGTCTATGGTCTGCTGTGTAATTCATGAATAATTGAAACCATGCGGTATCACCTTAGGTTTTACCACCATTATCACACCCCAATCATTCAGGAACAGTTATAACTTCATAACCTTAATGAGGTGTCAGCTAGTGGCCTATAGCTAGGTGTTATCTTGCCTCAAGGGCTGAGCCAAGCACACATTACATGACTGACTGTACATTCTCCTTTAAACACCTCAGCTATATAGTAAAAGGAACAGTAACATAATCAATTCAATTAATGCCCAGTCACGACCACCTTACAAAGTAATTGACCATGTATGAATGTACAACCAGATTTAGATAAGCAAGATTATCTAGTGGTAGTATCCGACTGCATGTAATGCATTGCTCAGGAAGACCACACACTTCATAATGGGTAATCAAACTTATCTAGAGCAAAATGGAATTTTAGATGTTGAGGCCTATCCAAATATTTCTTAAAATCTGATTAGATAAAATCAGAATCTAACTGTTCAGTCAGGTAGTGTATATACACATGAGCAGAGCTCTGACCAACTAACGTTTGGCTGTATGGAGGTGAGATAGACCGTTGTCACTCCATCTGGAAAATATACATCTATGGGAACAGGGAGATTAGGTGTTACTCTACGCTATGGCTTCTGACACAAGTCAAATCAAAAAGGTCAGCATACATTCTACAATACTGCCATGGATGTCAACAGCTATGGAACCTACCTTCTTGGGCAGGAAGTACACTCCTACAGGATATTTATCGGTGTTGGTCCACAATTCAAGCTGTGCCATGACTTGGTTGGTGAAGGAATTGCTCATGACAAAGCTCGGGTGGCCCATGGCACATCCCAAGTTTACTAAACGGCCTTCAGCAAGCAGTATAATGTGGCGTCCATTTTTCAGGAGGTAGCGGTCCACCTGTAGAAAGGCAAGAGTTTCATTGGTACCCACTTCTCCAAATGAAAGCGAATCTAAAGACAATGATTGCCTAATACATATAGTATATTGGCTGACAAACTTACAGTACAATAAATTAAAGAAACCCTTTTTAACAAAAACATTAACATGTATGTAAACCCAGCAATAAACCGATCTTATCTTCACTCTTCTAGTGTATTAAATATACCATTGTTATACAAGTCGAAGCGGGGTGGTGTGGGGGGGGTGGCATAGACCCTGCTAGAAATCCAGTGGTCGATAACCTCCTGGGCTGGTTGGCTCTTTCAGGATGTCATACTGACAAGTGGGGGGTTGAAATTGGCTTAGAAAAACAAACTATTGGCACGTTCACACAAGTAAACGGCGGTAACATGCACATTCTTTTACTGCAATATATCCAGTAGTTTGATGCTCTGCCATTCGCACCACACTATTTTTGTGAACTGAACATTTTTTTCCTAAAGGAAGCCGATATAGATCTATAGCATTGCACCATCCTGATACTAGTCTCCACCCTTCTGCATCTGACCTCCAAAAAGTCTACAATTTGTGTGCAGCGGGTCTTTCTGCAGGCAGTGTGTGGTCTTGCTTTATACTACATTCCACAATCTATTAAGGTCTAAGCAAAGTTTCTGGCTTTGAGCATTGATTGACACCACAGTGTACCACCCAAGTGTGAAGCTCACTGAACTGTTTGTCTCCACCAGCACCGATTATTGTTGTAAGAGATATTCTGTACCACCTGCATTTTGGAGGAGGCTCAGGAGGTAAGCAGTTGTTGCCTCGATAGCCCTCTGGTGACCGGTTCACCAATACTAGTATGCAGCTATCCACGCATCCCCTGGTGGTCAGAAGTGGAGCTAAAGTAATGTACAATGCAAGTTAAAACTTTACTGATTGATAAAAGGTTAGATCATAAAATACCAGATTTCATCTGAAAATGCTAGCTACCTGGCCTGTCATCAATACATTCATTAAATAACCCCAAGTATTCAAATAGGGACATCTGACTTCGCCAATGTGGTTTCTGTACAGAAACCAGTAGATCAGCATAAAAGCCAAGTAAAGCAAATTTTCAGAGGTCAGCAGCTGTACAAAAACACCCCTCACCATGCATACAGATATCTGGAATGACCAGATTCTATACCAGTCATTGATGCAACCCTTGTCCCCAGCTTTGCCACAATATGGGAGCTATGACAGGTTCATACTGGAAGTGCCCATGCTATAGATTTAACATCCCCCACCTCCCTCCAAAGGGTAAAGCATAAACGTGGCCATTGTTTACCTGCGGCTTGATGTTAACTTTCTTATCAGAATTTTCATTCAACCATTTTACATCGAGTTCAACATCAAAGTGGCCAATACACACATTTAGAGGTCATTGGAACATCAAGTGGTGGATGACTATGGGGCAATATTTAGAAATTCAGTCGCATGACAAGGCAGGGCTAAACAGGAGAAGCGATACAGATCATGCAACAGATTAACTACAAGCTCATCAGCTGCTCTAAAGCACCACTTTGACAGAATGAGGGCATTTATGAAGCAAATTACAGACAATTGTTCACAAATCAGGCTGCCTCTCGTTCAGCAATGTCTTTGAGACAGGTTTACAGTGCTGTGCATCTGTATTCCTGGGCAGCCAAGAAAGACAGTTGGAGTATTTTAAGACGGATTACCAAATATGTGACATCACTATAAAACAGACATATGACCAATAAGAAATGCTTCTTGCCACATGTGGTAGGAAACTGGAATTACCCTTTAAGCCAAACGCCAGCCCTCCCAGCTGTGGTGGAACTACAAAACCCATGAGGCATTGCAAGATTCTCCCGGAGGAGAGTCATGGGATTTGTAGTTTTACCACAGCTGGATGGCCCGAGTTTGGCTACCTCTGCTCTGTTTTGCCCAGTGGCATTTATTTTCATTCAACTACTTACGCAAGAGTTTAAATACACATTTGGGGAAAAAGTGTTCCATTGTCCTCACCTTCCATGGCTGCCTGCAGAGCATTGATGGGGTCTATCTCGGTAATGATGACACGTGCACCAAAGGCTCTTAAAGCTTGAGCACAACCTTTTCCAACATCGCCATACCCTGCAACCACTGCAACCTTCCCTGCAATCATCACATCAGTAGCTCGCTTGATACCATCAATCAGAGACTCTCGGCAACCGTACAGGTTATCAAATTTGCTCTTGGGGGGGGGAATAAAAATGCATTAACATGTCAGATATCAAGTCCTCGCCGCAATTAATGCACCATTTTTCATTACACTATTTAACCTTTAATGAATCAGGCAAAGACATGCTGTGAAGTTACCTTTGTCACAGAATCATTGACATTAATGGCGGGTATTTTTAAGGACCCATCAGCCTTCATTTTGTAGAGGTTGTGCACTCCTGTGGTCGTCTCTTCAGAGATTCCCTTAATGCCTACAGGAAAGAGGGAAAAAAAACTGGATTGGCTGTATTTTTTTTAAATTTAAATTTTTAAAGCCAGATCATAAAGAGAAAAAAAAGTAATTACAAGGCAATGGTTTTCTACCTTTATATGACATGACATGCAGCTCTTGTGACAAGGGGTTTATCTCAGAGGACATTGAGCCTATTAGCCTTGTGCAACATGTACCAAGATTTGTTTTAAAGATATCCTGAGAATTTTTCTACAACCACGTCAATATGTGAAACCATTTTTACTTTTTGGAATCTAAAACCAATATAATTAACTAGGAGATTGCAGCCCACCATAACTGCAGAGTGTGAATGCCGTCAACCTTTGTTCACCCACTATGACCTAGTAAAGGACACAACACACTGGCCTTGTGAAGCATGTACCAACATTATACATAAACCTCAGGTTAAAAGCCTATTTATACTGCCAATAAATTTTTATAATGTATATCTTCATCTATCCTTGGCAGTGCAATATTATGCAAACCCCTGTAAAAAATTGCTTTTGCTTGACAGTTTGCCTATTAAAAAAATTAATAGAAGTTTATTGGTCTGATCTCTTAACCCTGAAAAACAAAAACTGCTGTTATTGCCATTGACAGACTGCATATGTCACTATCTCTTCCATAGTATCAGTTACTACGGCTTGGAGTTCAGCAATAAAAGTGCAAGCGGTTAATAACAGGGAGGGATATTATAAAGAACTCCTTTTCTGCTTTCCACAGCTTTGCAGTTGGCTTGCTATTGTACCTAGCAAACCATTTATCATGGCAGGATAGTGAAAACCGAGCTTTACTGACTAACTGAATGTATTTTAGTGCATCTTCATCACTCGTGGTGCATTTCGTAAGCCAATAAGGAGCCATCGCTTATGTATGTATTCTACAGGTCAGCTACACAACACCACCACCTAGTGGTCACATTATAAACCGCAGCTCATCAATGGAATGGATTTCCAGTCTTAAATCACCTTTCAGCAAATCTGGATGTTTGGTGTGAACAAGGTTCGTGAGATCTCCTCCGTCATCAAGGATCATGTTGAGTGGTTTGCCATCAGGGAAGTACAGGGTCTGCTCAATGCACCAGATGTACTCTTCATCGGTCTCCCCCTTCCAGGCGTAAACTGCATGGAAACAGCTGGATTAAACAGAGCCCACTTACATCAGATAAATTAGAAATGCAATTAAAATGTGTGTTCGCTTTGTTCCACAACAGAAGCTTCCGTCTCACCTGGGACCCCGGTCTTAGCAATGGCTGCAGCAGCATGATCCTGGGTAGAGAAGATATTACAGCTTGACCACTGCACCTGCAAGAAGCAAAGTCAGTAATGTTTAATGGAAGAGTACATCAAGTGCATGATTATTCCATGACCTGGCTCCAGTATGCAAAATCTGGTGGTTTAGAAGGGATCACAACACTTGGCACAGAACAGCTCTCCAACACAGCTGACCTGCAATGCTGCGCCTCCTGTGCAGCATGATAAAGTACAAACTACAAATTCTGAATATGCCCAGACAAAGCTTATATAAAGGCGACACCTAGTGGCGTAGAATAACAATGCAGAGGTACAAAGCAATAATGTACTATACAAAAAAAAAAAAGTTCAATTCATAAAGGTTTGCTTCCATACAAGGCAATTCATAATTACTGTAGATGTTAAAGTAGAATCCCAGTTATTTTATTTTGATGAAAGGCAAGTCCACCCAGATTGATAACTCAATTTTGATAGTTGCTGAAGTTATGCCACCTGACACATTTCTTGCATCCCTTAGTCCCTTGTTCATGCCTAGGAGTGGTCACTGAAAGCTAAGGGCAACAGAATGCTCAAGACAAGGAATCCCATTCATTTCTATGGCCCCTGTAAACACCTGAGCATTGTCACAAGCAGAAAAATGCCTGTTGCTGGAAAAAGTACACAAAGCTGGTTTTTGGTCCCATAGACTTCTTTAGGAAACACCAGGAAACTTGCATTTCAAGTGTTTTGTCGTGAAGTTTCCCACTGACGTCTATGGGAACGAAAAGCGCTGTAATCTGCCAAAAAAAGAAGACGCTCGTGTACTTTTTCCAGCCTCTGGTGTTTTGCCGCTTGAGGCAAATTGCTCACATGTAAGCAGGGGCCATGGAAATTAATGGGATGATGTGTCTTGATGGTTTTGTTGCACTTTCCTTGAGCGACAAAATGCCAAGGGGTTAACATCCTGATTACCACTTCTGCTGTGGCCATTATGAGTGGCTCCCATGCTCCTGGTCGAGTTTATAATTTGAGGATATAAGAAAATGTAACAGGCAGAGCTGGAACACACAATGGTGAATGGGAATCATTGCAGAGGTATGTCTCCATAAAAGCCTAAAGGGTGTCTCATCTTAGAACTAAGCCATCGCTTTTGGATGGGCTGACTGCCATTCATGACTGTCCCCACTGCAGGATCTTACCCCTGTTCCTGTCACTATACAGGAATGGAGAGGAAATGTAACCAGAACAAATTACAAAACTAAAAGAAAGATGTTTGCACTGGAGTTACAGCTTCAATGTGATGGCTCATACACTAATATACTTCAATGACTGCACCCGCCACCCGCACCCACATAGAGGTAGGTCTGTAAGCTGCCTCTGTGCTTCTCCTAAAGTAATCCTGTCAGAGAAATATGGGGGCTACCATTGCTGACCCAAAATGCCTGGATGTTACAACAACCCTGTGTTCACTACTTTCTGGGTCAGTAACACAGTAACAAGTATGCAGACCATGAAAGTCAACGCCAAGTCAGTAGCTCAAAGTACTAAAGCTGGTAGATCAGTAAAACTGCACCTCTAGTTTTTATTTAATCCCCACGAGCAGCATTTAGTTCCTCCTTTTTTTCCTACCAACAGCGACCCTAAAGATTTGGGAAGAGGGGGCATGCCTTACACATTTTCCCCAGCAACTTCCACTAGCACGTTTTAGAATGGTTAGATACCACTCCCTGGTCTGAACAAACCACAATAGCCTACTTGGCATTGGTCCCTTTAACCACCTTCCGTCCATGGCCGTTTGTGAACAGCCGGACGGACGTCTGCTAGGAGCGGGAGGGCGTCTTAAGACGCATACGAGAGGGGAAACTGTAAGCATGTAAACAGCCAGCAATGGCTGTTTACATACAAGCGATCAATGTTTAGCAGGTCAACCTACGCAAAGCTCTCTTTTGCCATTGTCCCAGCTGCCGCCTCTACCACACAATATCAGAGGCTGAGGAATCTCCCAGCTTCCTCTGCCCCAAATAGCCTTCTTAAGTTACATTGCAACGTGATGGATTGCACAATATCAGACATGCAGGTGGTCGAATCCTGGAGAGACCTTCTAGTACAGCAGACCTATATGCGCAGGAAACAATTAAAGTGTGCAAATAACCAACAGCCTAAATCAGCACGTCCTCTTGCAGGATCTGTCCTCGGAGCGCAGCCTCGAGTTCCCTCAAAGTCTTTTTACGTCTTACTGGAGACAAATGTCCAAGGTCAAAGTAACCCATCGACAGACCTGGCCATTGTCACATGGGTGGAATGCCAATTCTTCTGCAAACCATGAATCTAAAATAAAGACCTTTAGAAAGGTTTAGTAACAGCAATCTAGATAATTGCAGGCTTTGTATACCTTATTCTTTTACAGTTTCTGACAGTGGACATTTTAACTAAGGGCAGGTTACTACTTCTATGAAGGAGACTTCTATGAAGGAGATATCCTGCATTTTCTGAAAATGCTTCTTACCTGGCTTTCCCCATCAGGACTCAGTCACCATCAGAACTCCTGTTCGACAGCCTTGTTTTGAGTCAGTGACAAATAAAGCCCCTGGATAAGCTTGAAAGCCAGTCAAGTAACATTTTCAAAAAAAGGCCAGCAATGATAGCCCACCTTAGCACTGGTTGCCTAGAATGGCCCCTGGCACTTACAGGAATTTCAGCCAACAAAGCAAAGGCATCATGCTGCAATGTGAATGAGCTATGAGACACCTAATGCAAGTCTAGTCTGCCATTACTTGAATGGTAAGTGCAAGCTGTACTGCAAAACAGACCTAGATCACAGTAAAGTGCATTAAAAGGAAAAAAAAAAACAAACAAAAAAAACACAAAAAAAAAAACACACTGGGTAGCAGTTAGCTTGCTTATACTAACTTACGCAGGTCCACTGAGGACACCAAGCAACATTTCATAGCCAGGTAGGAGGGCAAGAGGTGAACGCTGACTAGTGCGGGATCAAGGATCAAGCAAGTAAAAGCACCCTAGACAAAATATACACTTAACCCTTGCAGTGCAGGGTAACCCCACTACAAGGGTATGCGTTTTACTTGCTCAGAGTTCTTCTTTAAGCCCTGCAATGCAGGGAGAGCCCCACTGCAATGGTAACCATTATGCCTAGAGTTCAACTTTAAATCCCTCAGAGCATCGGTAGTGAGAGACTGTTACTTTGCCTATAAGCAGCCAGGAAACCAGAACAGAAATCATTTTACAATTTAACAGTTGCTTCCCTCATTGTACAATAGTTACCGTATTTACCGGCATATAAGACGACTTTGTATGCTTAAGATATCCCCCCCAAAATCGGGGGTCGTCTTATACGCCGGGTATACAATCTAATCTGTCAGACCGCTGGATGTGCTGTAATACTGCATGTACGGTAGCTTCGGCTACATACAGTATACCACGCTGAGCCAATCACGGCGAGCGATGTACACAACCTCTGCCAATCCGAGCAGGCTTTGTATTCATTAATAGAATACATCGCTCGCCGTGAATAGCTCAGCTCAGTATATTGTATGTAGCCGAAGCTACCGTACATACAGTATTACTGCACATCCAGCGGGCTGACAGATTAGTGGGAGGTCACTAGATGAGAAGATACTGGGGTGCACAGGTGTCTCAGGACACAACAGGGTGCACTGGGGTCACTAGAGAACACAGTATGCCGTTTAGGGCACAGGGTACCCTGGGGCAACTAGGCGACATAGGATGCTCTGGGGTGCACTGGAGTCACTAGATGACAGGATGCTGTGGGGTGGTCTAAAACCATGGGAGGCACTGGGGTCATTAGCGTGGTATACTGTATGCAGCCGAAGCTACCGAACATACAGTATTACCGCACATCCTGTGGGCTGACAAGTGTATTTAAACATTTTGGGCTATACTCATCTTTTACGACGAGTATAGGCCAAAACCTATGTTTTAACTGAAAAATTAGGGGGGGTTCTTATACGCCCAGTCACCTTATAAGCCGTCAAATATGGTAATTTAAAATAAAAACAGCCCCCCCTTTACCCAGTCCGTACCTCAGCCCCCAGCGCTGTCAGGGTCTCTATGAGCACAGCAGTCTGGAGAGTCATGTGCAGACAGCCAGCAATCCGGGCGCCTTTCAGGGGTTTGGTCTTCGAGTGCATCTCCCTCATCTTCATCAGGCCAGGCATTTCATTTTCTGCAATTTCGATGGCTTTCCTGCCCCATTCGGCCAGGGTGATGTCAGCTAGAACAGAAACAAAGCTTTAACTGCATGTCAACCAACAGCGGCTGCTCAATGATAAACACCAGATTACTGCAGATAATGTGGGCTGACAAATGTGTATTTAAACATTTTGGGCTATACTCATCTTTTACGACGAGTATAGGCCAAAACCTATGTTTTAACTGAAAAATTAGGGGGGGGTTCTTATACGCCCAGTCACCTTATAAGCCGTCAAATATGGTAATTTAAAATAAAAACAGCCCCCCCTTTACCCAGTCCGTACCTCAGCCCCCAGCGCTGTCAGGGTCTCTATGAGCACAGCAGTCTGGAGAGTCATGTGCAGACAGCCAGCAATCCGGGCGCCTTTCAGGGGTTTGGTCTTCGAGTGCATCTCCCTCATCTTCATCAGGCCAGGCATTTCATTTTCTGCAATTTCGATGGCTTTCCTGCCCCATTCGGCCAGGGTGATGTCAGCTAGAACAGAAACAAAGCTTTAACTGCATGTCAACCAACAGCGGCTGCTCAATGATAAACACCAGATTACTGCAGATATTATAATGTATCCTACCCAGAGCAAGACTGCAGGTCTCCCGACATTGAACAGCCCATAAAGCACACTTTACACATTCAATAAAAATGGTAAAACTATAACCCAGGGGGACAGTAATTATGGATTCCAGGCACCAGCAAGCTCATTTTTTCTAGGGCTGCAACAACTAATCGACATAATCGATTATATTTTTACTTCCACCGCTCCAAGCTTGCTCCTGTGATGGACTACAACCTCAATACAAACTAGTAGTCCCATCACTGGAGCCATTTTTTAAACGTTATTTTATTGTTTATCCGATTAACCGATTAATCGAACTTAATAATCGGCTAACTAATCGATTTTGAAAATAATCGTTAGCTGCAGCTCTAATTTTTTCTTCTTCCTTTAGAAGCCAACTCCATCGACAACTAGGGAAAAACCTTTAAAAGGTTATGCGACGGGACTGAACCGTCACTGGGGCTGCTGGAGGAGCCTGAGGGTTGGCCTCCTTCCTACTGACTATGTATCTAGAACAATGGAGACCCCCCTCAGACCTCTTGGGTTACATGGAACCATTCTCCTAGATTTGTGTGGAGTGAAAATACTGCACGTTTCCCCTGGCATTACATTTAAGTGACCCTGTGTTCATTATAGGCAGCAGGCTGTCTGGAGTGGCCATTGTTTGGGATGATCAAACTCATCTAATTAAGGACAGTCATTAGGTTCAAAGAGTGTGTGCTTGAGCAATCCCAAAGCGGCACCCGGCTCTCTAGGGGTGGAAACCGTTCAGCACACTGAACGCTTATCTGATTCTGTGAGGTATAAACTGTGTGCTTTCTTCAATAAAAGTAGTTCTTGGTTTCCACTTCAACATTGGTGTGGTCTGATGTTTAAGGAGTTTAGCTTTCTCTCCAGCAATTAGGCAGGTTTGGGCTGAGGAGACTGGAATTCATGTTCCAGCGGAGGGGAAGCCGATTTCTGACAGAGGTACCCAGTCGGGGTACCAGGCATCCCGTCACAAGTTAGGCGCCAGCTGTAATTTTTAAAACAAGGAGGGGAAGCCGATTTCTGACGGAGGTACCCAGTCGGGGTACCAGGCATCCCGTCACAAGTTAGGCGCCAGCTGTAATTTTTAAAACAGAACTTGGGGTAAATTTTTGACCCTTGCACTGGGGCCCTGCACTCCCCTCCACTGCAGCAGTCTAAGGACCCCCCCCAGCTCAGAGGATCGGGTGAGTACAATGACCCCAAGCAAAACCTAGCACTTAACCCTTTGAGTGCAGGGGTAAGATTTTTTTTGTTGGTTGTTGTTCTTTCTTAGTGACCTGGACATGGTCATCCTGTTAGAGGGTGAATGTTCGTGTCCTACTGCTCATTCCAATTGGAATTCAGCTTTAAAGGAGAACTATGAGGCGAGTGCTTTTCACTCACCTCATAGCCGACCTGTGACAATGAGACTGTCACTGTCACAGGTCGGCTCAGTAGATCGGGAAGTGAACGAACACAAAGCGGCGTTCGCTCACTTTGCCGATCCTGCCACAGCTCTCTGCCGTGACAGGGGAGGGACTGGATTCCCCCTCCTCCAGCGCTGACTGGAGGAACGGACAGGGGAGAGGGCGGGTACAGCTGGCTCTGCCTCTAGATAGGCAGAGCCAGCTGTCACACACGCAGCTGGGCGGATCCAGACATAATTGTTGGGATCCGCTTCAGCGCCTCAGTATACCGCGAGCTGAAGCTCACGGTATACTGAGCTTAGGGTGACGGGAGGACGCTAGTTTGTGTCCTCCCGTTACCCTAAGGAGAACTATGGGGAAAAGCACTAACCCCATAGTTCTCCTTTAATAGATTCCTCAAATCGCAGCGGCTATAAATCCACTGTGTGGACCAAATGCCTTTGAATATTCTCTTGTAAAGCAATCACCACACTGCACATTACCTGTGCAGAGAGCAGAGCTGTCGTAGGAGTCCAGCAGGCCCCACCCACTACAGGCTGCCTGCAGAAAACTAGAGGGGGTGGAGACAAGACCGGTTATCCTGCACAAGGAGAGCAGTGACTGGTCTTTATTACAGGAGGGGGCGGAGGCAAGACCAGTCACCCTGCAAAAGGAGAGAGCGCAGCAGTGAGCGGTCTTTATTACAGAGAGCTCCTTTACAGAGATAAAGTAGGAATGGTTTTAAAATAAATGCAGAGATCCAAAAGAAATTATACACTGAAGAGACTCAAGCAAGTATACACATGCTTCTTTAAATATGAAAATCTTATAAAATATATTTTTTTGTTGTGGTACCCATTAAGAAAATATTTACACAGAAAGTACAAAACAAATTTCCCACTAAAAAGGAATAAAATATATCTTTCAGATTCACTGACCTGCTAGGCTAAGAATGGCCTAGTGCCACCAAGTCCTTCATGAATGCGCATTTTCACGTATAAGAATGTTCTGCAGATCCTGGCAGTGCAGCAGTAGTCAGAAGGCATTTGCTAGGCTCAGACAGAAGACATGTTCACTGAACAATCATTCATGAGACCATCCCATGCGCCCATTAGCTAAGTCAGCATGTTTATGCACCGTGCCCGACACCTCATCTAGCCAAACAATGGCAGGAATCAAAATTCGATCCAAGCCAAATTATTTATTGTAGTGCCTTTATAGGTCGGCCAAATTCAGCACCAATTGTGGTCCCGAGCCAGGTCTGGATGTGCCAACCAGTGGATCCAGCACTGCAGTCTGCACTAGTACTCGCCCAAATATTCAGTATCGGGACCGATACTAGTTTCGGTACATCCCCAAAACACACATGCACGCCATTTTTTACCTCTGAAAATGCTAGTTGCCTGGCTATCCTACTGCTGCTTTAATTTTCAGTTACTGGCCTGGAACAAATACAGATCGTTAGAACCTCTAACGACAGGTTGTCATATGTCAACAGGGCCACTTCAGTCAAACCTTAAAACAAAAACGTGCACACCCTCTTATACAAGTATTCACATTCCATTTGCTTTATGCAACCAGAACAGCCCGAAGCCATCTCATTCTGCCTAATTAGCATATTGCAAATGCATTTCCCTTTATACAAGAGCGCGCGCCGTAAACCAATGACCCAAAAACCCCGGCTACAGCCTGACAAGAGGCGCACGGCTGCTAATCTCTTGTATAATAAAAGGTTAATGCAGAAACTGTGCAGGTCGGCTGCTGTCAGATCCTGTTACAGCATGTGCCAAATCGTGGAAGCTGCCGGGTATGGAGCATGCTGGGAAATGTAGTTTCAGACAACAAAGCAGCACGCAGCTGACTGTCCATGCCACTACAACTCCCATGAGCCCCTGGGGTGGAGAGCTGGGGCTAGTAGCAGCATGCAATCCACATGAAACGGTACACAGCCATGATTACATCAGGAGCATGGAAGACTACAGTACAGTTCACCACCTTGTCATCCTCCTCCAGGGAGGAAGGGAGTCAGTGCACAAAGATTTGCCCTAGATCTTCTATTCGGACCAAATCACATCATGCTACCCAGAAATAACGTAGTAACCACTAAATTGTAAAACAAGGCACACATGTGCTGCGTACAACCCATCTGTACAAATCAATGAATGACTACAAATACTGCACACTGCTCTAAAGCCAGACTACACACTATACAATCCGATCGTACCATCTCTTTATTACAGGAGGGGGGCGGAGGCAAGACCAGTCACCCTGAAAAAAGAGAGAGCGCAGCAGTGAGCGGTCTTTATTACAGAGAGCTCCTTTACAGGAGATGTACCAAGCTACCATCAACTATGTAGTACAAGAGCCTGCTTGATTTCATACAAATTGAATGGACGGTTTAGGTAAAGTCAAGATTGTATAATCCGATTGTTTAGTTTAATAGTAAGCAAGTCTGGGATAAGCAAATATTGTCTAAATACAAGAGCCGTGTGTATTCACATTGTACTTTGTGTCCAGATAAGTGCCGTAAATCCAGCATGAAGCATCTTCCTGTAATAAAGACCACTCACTGCTGCTCTGTTCTTTGGCAGGGTGACTGGTCTAGTCTACACCCCCATTCTGGAGGCAGCCTGAGCCCCTCCCACAGCTCTGCACTGGCTATGTACAGCACAGTGATGATGTCACCACTATTTGGGATACAAACTGGATTTATATCATTTGGTGACTGTTTAGGAATAGATTTCAATAAAAGTACTCGGGAGTTCAGCATTAATTATGTAGTTGACACACATCAGGTGATTTTGCCATTAAAATATTGCAGTGTACCCAGCACACACAGAAGGCCATCTCCCATTGTACAAATCAGATATTTACCTTACAATCACCTGATTACAGGACACTAACAAAGTCAAATATTTCCTTACCTGTCCTGCCATCACCCTGGAGTCATGCAACCTCTAATGGCTGCGGATTGTAAGATCTGGGTTGGCTGATCTATGCCCCCATTGGTCATAGCATGGATGCCTAGTGCATGCTGGTTCTTGTAGTGCCTCTGCAGCTGGAGACCCATCAGCTAGAGGCCAGCTATGATCATGCAGCTGTTACATATTCTGCACTTAAGCCTCCCCGTGCTGGGTCTGCAGCACATTTCTCCTTCCCCTGCAGCACATTACCAACCAAACCTTCGGACCGCCACCGGTAAAGCATCCCCCCCGGGAAGAGCCGGATCGTTGCCCGCGTTCTTACCAACTTTGTAGGGCAGCTTGTCAGACATGATGAGCGGTAGAGAGATCACACCACGAGCCACTGAGCCAGCAAACGAAGAGAAGGCGTGCTGCCGGGTTCCCTTTAAGAATAACCCGCTCTATTCCATATAAGGTAGTGAAAGAGGCGGGGACTGTGTCATCTGACCGCCAGCCGGGCGGGTCGCGGCTTTGAAGGGCGGAAAGCAAAGCCAATCGGGGACGGAGGATTGACAGGCGCAGCCTCCGTGGCGGAGGCGACTATTGGCTGGCCTGTGGACCTTGGAGCCCGGTGACGTCACCAATCAGCGGCCAAAGGTGCAGCTGTGATAGTGTTTGTGTTCCGATTAATGATTGTTCATCTGCAATGCCCGCTGAATGGTCTGAACCACCCGGGAGGGGTGACAGCAGTGCAGCTTCACTGATAGGGGTCAGTAGTATGGCTCGTCCACACCATGACACGTGTTTTTTAACTGCGCTTTGCATGGCTACATTAGTCTGGCTGTGAGCGCGAACGTGCACAGAATCACGTGATTTTGTGCACGTTTCTTTGGTAACAGCACTCCAGATGTAGCAAAAACTTGTGCAAACGCGCAAAGCTCACGGCCACATTAGCTTCTTGACACACTGCATTTGGCAAGTGCAATTTCGCACTGGCGTGTAAGCTTGCAGAAGCTGACATAGTTGAGCATGCCGAGATGAAACAAAATACATTTTCAGCCAATTGGCTAATGCGCGTCAGAATTCGGAATCCACTGAGTTAATACGAGTGAGCCGATTGGCGGAGGAAGTCTTGCCGCGCTCAGCTACTCAAGCTCTTGTACATGGCATGCAAATGTCCACGCTTCGCTTTGCATGGAGTATCTCACGGGTTTAGAGTAGACCCTTTTCACACATGGGTGCTCATGATCTTGCATCAAACACGCATAAAAGTGCGTGCTTTGACAGCCGTGCGCAAACATGGAAAACGGGGGCGAGCAAATGCGTCTTTCTCACACGCGTGGGGGGAACAAATGCAGAATGCATGTTGCACAATTGTGACATACACTTCTTTCCTGGAAACTCAAAAGGGACACGTGCCAAATGAAAAATGACTGGGAAATGCGCATAGCCGCGATGTGCGTTCCTGCTATGCTCAGGTGTGAATGGGGGCTTACTATGTTTGTCACACATTGAAATGAATGAGCTTCCTTACATAGGCGCATGACACACAAAAGCTCCGCGTGTTTACATACTAACAGGTGTGAACATATGCTGCAGGAGTGTGCAATGCGTTAGAGCTCAGGGAGAAGCAACCTCCAGCTGTGGTGAAACAACAAATCCCACCATGCCTCTTCCTCTGGGATTCATACATGTGGCTGTCAAAGTCTTGCAATGCCTCATGAGACTTGTAGTTGCACATCAGCATTGCCTACTCCATGTCTGCATTTTTTCAACAGCGTAGCGCACCGCCCATCATGCCCATGTTTTAGTGTGAATCGAGGACATTGAAAACAATTGTGACCTGTGCTTTTCTTGTGCAGGTCACTGCGATGGAAGTCACCGGTCTGGGGTGCCTGAATGGAGTGTACACCATGTACACTATTAATAAAGTTAAAAAGAAAAAAAAATGGAAATAGTGTGTTATACAAAAAAACACTGACGAAATAAACAAACATGAAAACATTTTAAACCCCTCCGCCCTCGTGTAAACGCAAACATGTGTCGAGTACGCCATGCAAAAACAATGGAACCATATTGTTACAAACATTGGTGTGAGCGCAGTTATTCTAGGGCCATCACTCACTGATAACTCTAAACTGATGAGCAGTAAAGGCTTTTATAATGTCGTTTTGGGTACTGTAGTTCTTTGCAATTTCACAGGCGTGCAAAATTTTAAGCCTTGACATGTTTGGTGTCCATATACCCGAAGCAACCCCATCTTTCATATTTTACCAAAAAACTGGGCATTATATTGTGTTTGTGTGCACTACAATTTACTTTAGTGTATTTGTTCCTAAAAATATCCATTTGATAAACATTTAAGCAAAATTAAAAATTGCAACTGGCATTTTTTTTATATTCCACAGGGCCTCCGCTTTTATAAAATGAAAGTTAAAAACAGTTTTCTACCCACAAATACAGCTTTTAATGTGTGGTGTGTAAAAATTGCTCCAGTAATAAATGTGTGGCGTGTAATAAATTACTCCGGCAACATTCGGCTATTTATCCACTGTCGTTCGGCCCCTACGTGAATAGGCGTGAACGGCAGCCAGTGAGCTGCCGGAGCTTCGGCTCAGCCGATCCAGATGTTGGATCGGCTCAGTCGAAGTCCTTCTGCACTTCGGCTCAGCCGAACATCCAGAGCATGTTCGGCTGACCGGGCAGCCGATGTACGGCTAATTTCAGCTGATGTACGACTGTCAAAACTCGGAGCTGCAGGAAGCAACGTGTAAGGGCTTACAACTTCTGCGTCTACATCGATGAGCTGCCCGCACACTTCTTCCTACAACTCCAGGCCCATCTAACATCGGCCTTTCATGCTGTGTGGGGCAACATGCCCCATGTAAATGAGGTCAAAAAAAATAAAGTCACCGACTTGTCAATGATTACATTTCAAGAGACACACTGAAAAGATCATTCATAGACAAATCTATTGTCAATAGTATGGTGCAACTGACCGATAAACTAGCTGGATCAGTAAGCACTGGTAGGGAATGGTGACCTTTTACATCCTTTCTAGAAGCGTCAGAAATTGTGTGATGTTGTAACAGCAAAGTGCACTGCTAAATCTGACTCAAAGGTTAGGTGAACACATTGTTAAAGCAGAACTTCAGGCAGAGGGTTGAGGCACTTCAAAATCTATACTTTTGCCTATGCCGAATAGTACAGAGCTCCATATAATTCACGCCTGCTGCGGATATGAGACCTGTGGCTCATACAGCAGCTCCCCCCTGTGGCTGGGATGCACACTGCCATCTTGGAAGGTTTCGAGGTCTGGCTGGTTGTGGGATGACTTTAGACCTAGTAACACAACCACGTTCCTCTTTTTACACTTATGAAATTCACATACCCAGGTACTGGTTCATGGGGAGTAGTGCTTCCTCCTCTCAGAACAACCTGCATAGTTCATAGGATGTTTGAATGGTTCCTTTATACACTTAGAGACTTAAAGGTGTATTTGGCATGTGTACTCCCAGAATCCCTGCCAGGACTTCCAATAGTACTCGTAGAATCCTGCCAGCACTTCCAATAGTGCTCAGTGATTCACTGCCAGTACTTCCAATAGTGCTCGTAGAATCCCTGCCAGGACTTACAATAGTGCTCGTAGAATCCCTGCCAGGACTTCCAATAGTGCTCGTTGAATCCCTGCCAGGACTTTCAATAGTACTCGTAGAATCCCTGCCTGGACTTCCAATAGTACTCATAGAATCCTGCCAGGACTTCCAATAGTGCTCAGTGAATCCCTGCCAGTACTTCCAATAGTGCTCGTAGAATCCCTGCCAGGACTTACAATAGTGCTCGTAGAATCCCTGCCAGGACTTCCAATAGTGCTCGTTGAATCCCTGCCAGGACTTTCAATAGTACTCGTAGAATCCCTGCCTGGACTTCCAATAGTACTCATAGAATCCTGCCAGGACTTCCAATAGTGCTCAGTGAATCCCTGCCAGTACTTCCAATAGTGCTCGTAGAATCCCTGCCAGGACTTCCAATAGTGCTCGTAGAATCCCTGCCAGTACTTCTAATAGTGTTCATAGAATCCCTGCCAGGACTTCCAATGGTGCTTGTAGAATCCCTGCCAGGACTTCAAATGGTGCTTGTAGAATCCCTGCCAGGACTTCTAATAGTGCTCATAGAATCCCCGCCAGGACTTCCAATGGTGCTCGTAGAATTCCTGCCAGGACTTCCAATAGTGCTTGTAGAATCCCTGCCAGGACTTCCAATAGTGCTCCTAGAATCCCTGCCAGGACTTCCAATAATGCTCCTAGAATCCCTTCCAGGACTTCCAATAGTGCTACTAGAATCCTTGCCGGGACTTCCAATAATGCTCCTAGAATCCCTGCCAGGACTTCCAATAGTGCTTGTAGAATACCTGCCAGGACTTCCAATGGTGCTTTAAAATTAACAAATGCACATTATTTAATTATTGTTCTCTGTGTCACTGTGGAGTTTCTCCCTTTGTAGCTGTCCTAATGACTATTTCCACTGGAAACCGGAGGTGAGGGTAAACCTTCCAAAAAAGGACAACTGTTCTGGTGACAACTTTAAAAAAACGGGTTTTGGAGGAATTTCTTATCATGGCGGCAAGTGTAACAGACATTTCCTAGGTGCATGTTTCCATAAAGTCATGGCAGCCCTAGTCACCATCACTTTCAGTCTGTTGGCACTTAGATTGTTGTCCTTGAAGCTGGAAAATCTCCATGCAGGTTGAGGCTGAGAGTGCCATCGTCACTTTATCACTCCATTGATAGGTGAAGGAATTTAATGCGTAGTTGTTTTTGGCTTAAAGGAGAACTATGAGGTGTTGAGAACTATGAGGCTGACTGGCAGATCGGATGGGGGAGGGGGCGGGTACAGCTGGCTCTGTCTCTAGATAGGCAGAGCCAGCTGTCACTCACACAGCTGAGCGGATACAGATATAATTGTTGGGATCCGCTTCAGCTGCGGTATACTGTGGCGTCTCAGTATACCCCGAGCTGTAACTCGCGGTATACTGAGCCTAGGGTGACGGGAGGACGCTAGTTTGTGTCCTCCCGTTACCCTAAGGAGAACTATGGGGAAAAGCCTTAACCCCATAGTTCTCCTTTAATGTTACTTATACATTGTCTGTATTTATTATGTCAAGAATTGCTGATTATACGGACCTCAGTAACCTATCAACTCTGTCTTCAGGTCTGTTCAGTTAATAAATAAGCCTTTAATTAGAACATTTCACCAGCTTTCAAACTTGCAAGTTAAAAGGACAGAAAAACTGAGTATTTCAAATACTTGCTTGCAGTATTTTCCTTTCCATACATTATTTTTTATTCACTTGCAACATGCCTTCAAACTTGGCAGAAAATGTTACTACTCCAGGAGAGTCAGTTCCCTAGCAGAGCTCCATCCCTCCTTGCATGTCATAGCCCTCTGCCCTCTCC